AAATTGTGTCTTATACACAGAAAAATATGATACATATGAGGACTTAAAAATGACATCTTAAGTCAATGGGGAAAGGATTATTCAATAGCTAGTAGGACAGGCATTTTTTATACTCTGTTTATAGAATTGCTATGCCTCTTTATGAGGGACAATTGGGCCATCTCTATCAAACTTTCAAATACTGGGATTCTTCAGAGAAACAACCCACAGACACAAAATAATATTTAATTTGGGTATTCCAGGGCCAGTCAAGTTGACACAAAATTAACCTTTATACCACTGGTTCTCAACCTTCTGGCCCTTTAAATACAGTTCCTCATGTTGTGACCCAACCATAAAATTATTTTCGTTGCTACTTCATAACTGTAATGTTGCTACTGTTATGAATCGTAATGTAAATATCTGATATGCAGGATGGTCTTAGGCGGCCCCTGTGAAAGGGTTGTTCGACCGCCAAAGGGGTCGCGACCCACAGGTTGAGAACCACTGCTTTATACCCAACAATTCCACTTCTAGATATTTATCCTACTGACACATAAGGACATGCACAAAATTAGAAGGCCCTTAATTTTTTGTTGGACTTATTTCCTACCCTCAAGCACACAGATGTCTTACAAGGAAGCCTAGAGTACTTGGTACTTCTTGCTCACTATGTCCAAACAGTATAATGTCATCAGTGCAGTGGACCAATGTGAGAGAGTCTTGTGGAAAGAAAGGTGGTCAGGGTCTGCATGGACTAAATCACAACATAGGGTGGAGAACTGATCGACCTCTGAGGTAGGAAAGTGAAAGGTGTATTGCTGGTCTTGCCAAATAAACTGCTTCTGATGCTCTTTACTAATAAATATCAAGAAAAGAGGGGAAAAAAACAAAAACATCAGTTGCCAAATCAGTAATTGCTGTATACCAGGTATCAGGGGCGGGTGTTAATTTGTTCAAGCAATGGAATCACATCTGGAACAGCTGCAATTGGAGTCACCCCCTGGTTAAATTTGTCATCATCCACTGTCATGCTCCAGGAGTCATCTATTTTCTGCACAGGCCAAATAGGCGTGCCGAATGAGGATGTGGGAATCCCCACCCTTGCATCCTCTAGTCTAATGGTGGCACTAATCTCTGAAATCCCTCCATTGCTTTTGGTTTACTATCTTTCTAGGTAGAGGCAGTTGCAGTGGTCTACATTCGTCCTTTCTAGCCCTTAGAGCCCTCATGCCATTGCTCAGAAAACCAATGTGGGTGTTTTGCCAGTTGCTGCGTATGCCTATACCAATGTTGCGTTCTGGAACTGGGGCAATGACCACAGGTTCCCGAGCCCACTGGACCACTGCTCTGGTTCCATCCTTGTTGCTTCTATGGAAAATCCAGGCCCTCTTAAGTGCCGTCCAGATATTTCTGGGAGTCCCCATAGGGCCCTTTATGTGTACTCCTGAAACCAGTTTTTGCAGACACCACATGGCACCTGTCAATTTCATTTGCTCTTGTTTCTGTTCTCTGGGATGAGCTTTGCCCCCCAACCTTGGCCATTGCTGCTGCTGCTGACAGAAGGCAAGGATGCCTAGAGGCAACTGAAGGCTAAGGGTGCCATCTTCATGGCTGTAAATGGGACACAGTCAGTGTCTGTCCCTTGAGACTAGTGAAAAAACTTCTTTAGGTTTTGCTAAGCATCTGAGTAGTCGACAAGAATGCTCAGATTCACCCTATGACAGACGTCCATAATTCATCAATAAAACATGCTCCTCAACCCTCTCTACCTCCAGGTGAATCGTTTCTCAAGAAGGCTTTTAGTTCTTTTACCTGCCAGTTCTTTAGACCAGAGCTCCTCAAAACATGGTCCGCAGACTGGGCTGTTCTGTCCATTAGCAGTATGTGACAAGTACAGAAATTGAGAGCTGTAAAATCTTACAGCAATTTGGCATAGTGACTTTATGTCTGTAGAACCTGATAATAAAACTGGGATTATGATATTTGTATTTTTACTTCATTTTTCTAACAATGTATTTTTATTGGATTTTATAAAATTCCAGTCTGAAATTAAAGGGGGGGCGAGGGGTTGGTGGATCTGGTCCTTCACACAGATGATTTAGGAAACTCTGCCTGACACCATGCCCTGACAGCCTGAATCCGTAGTGAGCAGGGTGGCCCCAAGCCTAGAAGTCCTCTATGTACTGTACTTGCTCAGGTGAGGATTTAAGAACCTGGTCTCTCACGTGCCACGTGGGCGGGAAGAGAAGGGCTCTAGCCTACTGACTGTTCCAGTGGCTCTGGAGTAGGGGGCAGGGTTCCTCCGAGGCAGTAATAGCCATCCCCACCATGGGGTGACTCTGGTCTGGAGTGAACATTGCTTCTGTGGGCAAGATATTCCCAGGGGAGTTCTGAGAATACAGTAGTCCCCCTTTATTCACGGTCTTACTTTCTGGAGTTTCAGTTACCTGTAGTCAATCATGGTCTGAAAATATTAAATGAAAATTCCAGATATATATAGAGAGAGAGACCACATTCACATGACTTTTATTACAGTGTATTATAATTGTTCTATTTTATTATTGTTGTTAATCTATTACTTTGCCTAATTTATAAATTAAATTTTATCATAGTTATGTATGTATAGGGAATTTATAGGGTTTGGTAGTACTAGTATCTGCAGTTTCAGGCATACACTGGGGGTCTTGGATCATATTCCCCAGGAATAAGGGGGCACTACTGTGTGTCTTAACACATTGCGGACCAGTAGTTTTATTGCTAGCTTTACCCAGTGGCCAGACAAGTTTCTATTGAACGAGTAAAAAAACATTTTACGTAAATGTTAAAGGCATGCTTTAAAATTAAATACCCATTGCATTTTGAAGTTATTTGATGTTCTTACAAGCTAATATCTTTTTAAAGTATGATACTTTGTAAAACACTGTAATATGAAGCGAGAATTCTCGTGATCCGTCCGCAGTGTGTTAGGAAGTACTGCCTTGATGCTAACCACATACCTAATAGCCCACATGGCCTGACACAGACACACTACTGGTGCGTCTCCCTTATCTTGGACCTTGTAGAAATAGCTGAGGGCCTCCTCTCAGGAGGTGAAATCATGACCACTTTTCAGGGCTGCTGACAGCAGCAGGTAAAACATCTAGCACGGTACTAATGATGTAGTAGATATATGTTAGCTCACCTTTTTCATGTCAAACCCTCAAAAAAAAAAGGTTATATCCCTACCACAGCACACTCTACATCTAGCTTTGTGTGCTTCACCTGCAGTATTTTACCTTACGTACTTCTATATGTTATCATGTATTTATTATCTTTTCCATATTCAACTAAGAAATGCTTGAAAACCCAGACTACTTCTTCAACTCAGAATCCTTTGGAGCTCATAGTCTAACCGATATGGATGCTTCATTGCTATTTATGATATTGGTCAGTTGAATTTCTTTAAGTTACAGATATTAAAAACATTTTAATGGCAAAATATCACAGACACAGAAAAGCATGCTCTTTTTAATAAACATAACCAAAGAATATAAATAAACATGACATATTTTACAATAGGTAAAAAATGATATTGCCTACACAGAGAAACACCCTTGGTTCTGAGGAAACAAAACATAAATCTCAGTAAGGATTCATTTGTAACTCCTTACTTTGCAAACTTAACATAATACCTTTTAACTTGACATTTGCTTTATCTAATATGATACAAATATTACAAAATATACTAAACATCTTTTTTAAATATACAAAACTTAATGAGACCTAGAAACTTAAATTAACAGAAAGACTAATTTATCAAGCCATTCCTTTGGACTGAAAGAGCAGTGTTATAGCTTTGCACCATAATCTTTGTATTTGGGGGTTCTGCCTCTACTTCCTCTCCCTTCATACTTCTTTCTTTAAAAAAGGGAGTGTTAAGAAAGATAATAGAATCTACTTATGAGCTTTAGATGATAATATTTCATTCCCCTACTTCAATCTCATTATTCTAGTCTGAAAATGCTATGTAACAAGCACACTGTTATACATTGCATGTGGACCTAGTATTGCTCCCTCAACTAACAACAGAAGTTGCCCTTGAATAAGGTGCAGGGTGATTCTTACTTCTCTTGGGCCAACACCTACAGTTTACTCTGGGGAAGGGATTGCTGTAGCACACTTTTCTTGAGAAGGCCCCTGCAGTCTGTCTGGAGAATTGTTGGATGAAGGTACCTTAGTGCTCACATGTGCTCTATTATCTACACTAATAAAAGAGAAACATGCAAATTGGTGTTACTCCACTACGCCCACCAGCCAATCAGGATAAATATGCAAATCAACCCAACAAAGATGGTGGTTAATTTGCATAAGCAGGCAAGGAGTGAAGACTGAAGACAACTGAAGACTGAAGAGGCTTGCCTTCTCCACTGCGGCTGGAGTGAAGGCCTGGGTCCTGGGTGCCGGAGGAAAACCGGTGCTGGCAACCAGGGGAAGGAAGGCCTATTGCACGCATCTCTTCGTGCAATGGGCCTTTAGTTGTTATAATAATAACTATAATACTATTATCATTAAACTACGGCATCTGCTACTTTATTACCCTTCCTCAATGTGTTTTCTGACTCTTTAAAACATTTTCTCCAAAATGGTTAAAGGACATTTTTAAAAAATATATTTTATTGATTTTTTACAGAGAGGAAGGGAGAGGGATAGAGAGTTAGAAACATTGATGAGAGAGACACATCGATCAGCTGCCTCCTGCACACCCCCTACTGGGGATGTGCTTGCAACCAAGGTACATGCCCTTGACCGGAATCGAACCCGGGACTCTTCAGTCCCCAGGCCGACGCTCTATCCAGTGAGCCAAACCGGTGAGGACTAAAGGACATTTTTTAGATTATACCTTCCTTTATGGTTCTACCTAATCATCCATAAGACATTTAGTTCTCACAGGTTTATCATTAGAAGGGAATGAAGAACCCACCAGATTTCTGAGCCTTTTACAAAGAGAAAATAAATACTGCAAACATTATCTATTATAGTTTGGAAATAGTTTTGTTTTTTGTATAAAAGGGGGGGGGGGGGAATAACCCTGTTTCCCCCTGCCCAACCCAATCTTTGTTGTTTGCTATCTCAATATACTTTCTAAAGAGGCAGCCTGAGCCTCGAAGTAGACAGCTGTTTCCTTCCTGGGTAGTAGCACAACCTGGATGTCAGATAAGCTGACCATGATGCAGAGCGGGACTCGGGGCAAACGGAGTCCACAAGCTTGGACCACGATAAGGGAAAACACAAGCCCGTTCTCTTCCGTTGTGCGTCCTGAGAGTGAGCACACTGGGTGTGGCCGCTAGCTGCACCAGTTTTCATCAGAACGACGGCGACTCGGTATTCCAAAGGAGATGACATCATCTTGAAGGGCAGCAGCTTCCCATGAGTCAGCAAATGTGGTGTGTTCAGGAAGATCCAAATCAGCATTTGCTTTTGATTTGTTTTTAAAGAAAAATCCGTAGTCAGTTTTCAGCCTGCTATGGATCACAGCAGTGGTGAGCATGCCACCCTGCTGTCCGGCCAGGGCATCCCCGAGGGAAAGGTCTACTTAAAGATGAATGAATGAGATCGGATTGTGCCTTCCGTTTGGTCGAGCTGTTTTCTTATTTGAGACTGTAATAAAATGCACATACATGTATATGTATTATTGAGCAATTTTAAGATAATTCTCGCTTGAACAAATATTAAATAAGACATGCTGATTAGTAAGAAAACCATGCAATTATAAATTAATTATCATGTGCTCCCTCCCCAAGTTTTAATCTTTTTTTTTTTTCCAGGAGAACTATAGTAAAGTGGTTGCTCAAACTTGTGCATATTGGGAATTAGCCTAATACTTATACTTATCCATAAAGTGCAATACTAGTAAATGAATCCAAAGAAGACAGAGATCTAAATTTATTGATATGGGAAGATGTTCATAATATGTTATTAGGTAGAGTGAGCAGGTAAAGAACATTTAAGAATTATTAGATTTTGTTTTAAAATATTTATTAGCATAGGGAAAAGTCTGAAACTATGTGCATTTGATGTATTTTTAACCTTAATTTTTCTATAATGATTATATGTTGCTTGCATAATTATAAAACAGAAAAAATAAGAAATTCACTCATATCTCAGCTAAGTTTACACATGGCAAAATATTTCTCACTGAATATCAAATACATTAGAACCATCTCAAATGAGTGGTATATTTATTTGGATTTCAAACTGAAAAGATAACCAAACCAAAAGTTCCAGTATCTAGAAAGGAAGTTTCAACAAGATTCTAATTATCAGCTAACTTCATAAAAACTTAATTAGGAAAATTTGTTTATGTTAAAAACATCCAGGGTTTCAAGATAATATGTCTACAGGAAACTTTAGAAAGCTTTAAGGCCAAGTTCTGGGATAACAGTTCACTAACTTACAAACACATATGAAAAATGTATGAGATCCATACATTTTTATAAGCATTCCATATTTCCCCTGGGAGGTATGTAGGAAGCAGTTAAATTACCTTTTGTCCTTGACCTGGATAAAGTAATGCTTATGCTGGGAATTAAACTAAGTACCCAGGGCAAGCTTTCTTCTCTGGCAATTTAAAAGGATTTTCTACTATAGAAATATGTCAGCTTTCCTCTGTCTGACCTTCTGGTCCCACTTCTCCTCCTCCAGGCAAAATTGGCCAAGCCTGCACACTTAAAGGAAGACCGATAGATGCTCAGGTGCAAGGCAAAGGCTCTGGGGCTGAGACCCCAGTGCAGGTTCATCCTTTCTCTTTTTACCCCTTTCTGCAGCCCTTCCATGTCCCAAAAGAATGAACAGACTATTCCACAAGCCTGCAAGTAGATATCCCAGTGAGTCTCAGGATTGTCTGATTCTTTCAACAGAAATATGTCTTAAATCATCGCCATGTTATTTCTGAGTAATAGGCATCCATCCAGAAAACTCGTTTAACTCACCAGTTTCCAGCGTAATATCTTGATCCACTCATCAGCTTCTACTCCTGTCTTCGCACAGAGGTAAAATGTCCTGAATGGAAATACTAAGCTGATAGGACAAAAGAAAGAAGGTAAGACACTCCAGGTGGTGAGCTGAATGTGTATTAGTTAAACACTAATTAGAGTACTCCAAGAAAACAAGAATTGACAAAGGGCCTGGGAAGCAACCTGCTATTCCTGCCAGCACTCTGCAGAAATGTCAAGGGTGTTGTGGAGTCATGTTACCATTATGGGCTAGATTTATATTTTCTAATGAGAATTCAAAGAAGAGGAAAATATGTCCAGGACACCCCCACGTCCTTTTGTCTTAGACTGAATACAACACTTCCATGTTTATTCGGCTGATCTGTAAAATGACTCAGAACCTGTGCTATGATTCAAAGAACATGCAAGATAGAGAAGAGTTTGATGAAGGAACTCATTTGGGTTAGCGTGCTTCAGTGAGAAAAACGCTGCCCCCTGTGGATGTAGGCTGTGTTAGCTATTTAAGATGGGGAGAAAAAGACAATGAAACAAACTCCTTAGCTAGTCCTTCTGCCCATCTCTGGCCATGAGTTAGTCTCTGCTGGAGGGAAGATGAACTTTCCGACTAGGCACAAAAGACTTGTTCTAATATATGATAGCTCTTCATTTGATTGTCTCTTTGACTATAGAGTCAAAATCATTTGACTAATAAGGTCAGCCTTAGCTTACATCTTGCCCATACTCCCTGTGCTTATAGTTGAGATGCAAAATACCAAACATCTTTTTCCCTTTCATGAAAAAAAAAGCCTTGAACTAAAATTCAGAATGGTTTCTATATCCTAAAGCCCACACAGCATATTCTGTTTATACCAGTGATTAATGCTGAATAGATGAGAGGCCAGTCCCTTGTACAGAAGGTACGCCTTGATGCTAGGTCCAGTCGAGGGGGAGAGAGGGAGTGACATTGTACATACATTGTACAAAACTGGTTTCTGGAATCATCATTGTTTGGTATTCCCTGTGGGAGAGCTTATTACTTGGCTCTTAATACAGATATTTTCCTTTCTTCTTACCAACAGAATTCCATGGCCATGAGTTAGATGATAAATTATAATTAGTTGAAGCCAACTCTAATGATGCTAGTACCCTTTTCTTGCTTCCTCTGCTGCCGACAATAGCCATGGGACCCAGTCCAGGCCAATGAGATATGAGGGGAAATCTGATAGGAGACTTTCTGGGGAAATACCTGCCTTCCTGATAAAAATGGACAGGCATAGCTGATGCCACCCCTACATTTTTGTCATGACTTACATGAAGTCTGGAGTAGCAAGCTTGAGGAAAAGGCCAACAAAACTAGAGGCACAGGCCTGACCTTGTCAAGACAGCTGCCTGCCTCCAAGTACTTTGTTATATGAGAAATATAAATCTTTTCTAGCTCATATGATTCCTTTATGCAAATTTTTGAAGATGTCTACTCTTGGTTGATACTATAGAATTAATGTTAATTTTCTTAGGTGTGATAATGGTATTGTAGTTGTATCAGTGACACTTTTATTCTTAGGAGATACATCTTGAAGTATTTAGGGGTAGTGTGTCATGGTGCCTGCAATTTACCTTCAATTGGTTCAGGTAAAAATGTGATTAGATAGAGATATTGCAAATATGGCAATATATTAACAATTGATGTATCTAGGTGAGGGATATATGTCAACTTTTGTATGCTTGAAAACTTTAAAATAAAAATTGGTGGGAAATAAGACACCTCTTTCTCAAGATACTTGACTTCTCCCAGTTAGAAAATTGGCATGCTAGACTGATTATGTTAGAACAAAACACTTTTGTGTCATCTCCCAGAAATTGTCATAACAATACAAATCGCCCATCATTGGAATTAACAAAGATATAATTGAGGAGAAAACTCCAAAGGAATAAAGCTGTTTACAGTGAACGGCATCCTCTTATGCGTATCACACTTGGGCAGTGCACAGCCTAATCAATTGTACCTGGCAGACGTGCACTCCTAACATAAATGCCCACGCCACCCAGATCAAAACATTTGTACACATTAAGACATAGTTTCTTATTCCTCAGTTAAAACACCTGGCAAGGAGACTTTAAAAACATTTTCCTTATAAAACAACTTACCAAAAACAGTTTACTCTTTCCTGTGAGTAATCAAACTGTACAGCTGAACATTCTGTTAAGTCTAGGATCCGAATTGGTTCTGGTGACTTAAAAAAAAAAGCAACCTATGTCATCATAAAAAACACAGATCTGTTCATCACTTATTTCCCTAACAAATCCTCCACTATGTGTAACTGTCAATTTCCCTTTCACCAAGGGGAGGGATAATAGAAAACCTACTAAGGGAAGAAACGCAATCCTGGTTTGGAAGTTGGCCCACTGAGCACTACGAGAACATTGATTTAACAATTTTAATTTGATGGAGATGGATTTTAACATATGGAAGGGTGTCATTTTTCTCTTGTGGTTTTTAAATTTTAGTTTTATTTATTTTTTTAAGATATATTTTTGTCGATTTCAGAGAAGAGAGAGATAGATACATCAATGATGAGAGAATCATTGATCAGCTGCCTCTGGCACTCCCCCTACTGGGGATCGAGCCCACAACCTGGGCATGTGCCCTTGACCGAAATTAAACCTGGGACCCTTCCATCCGCAGGCAGATGCCCTGTCCACTGAGCCAAACCAGTGAGGGTATCTCTTGCGTTTTTAAACTTCTACTTACTCAGAAATTTTGCACTGGGGAAGTGAGAAGAAACAAAATAAATTTAAATTGGTTTAGTGAAATGGATATGGGACCTGGACATACTTTTAATAGGGGGAGAAGTCGCTGTAAAAAGCAGTTAATACTTTGAGGCAGGAAAGGAATTCTATTGCCCTAGTTTAGCTGGTCCCAAAGAGCAGTTCCTGGGATAGACATCTCATCTTTGAAAGAAAAAAAAAGTTGGCTCATATCAGGAATCAAGAACTCACCTCTCCACTGATTTATTAGGTGTTTCAGGTGTTCATAAGGAAAATTTTAGGGATTTTAAAGGCAGATGTTCCTTTCATCTAGAGAGCTGATTTTTAAAGGGAAAATGTATTATTATGTTTCTCACCATCTGATCTTTGAAGTATTTCAGTTCATTCCTGTGCAAAGTGAACCACCTTGTTTTCCAGGTCTGAGAAAGAAATAATCAAAACATGTAGGTTTGGAATACAGAAATGCAGTATTTCAACGAGATAATTTCCTTTTGATTAAAACAAGTCTAAAAGATTAGATACTAGAAAATATTCTTGAGGTGTCATTTCGGATAAAAAGTTTCAAAATACCTAGAAAAATTACAATGGTTCTGTGCATTAAGCTCATGGTAAAGGCAAGGATATCATTAGCATATTTAAACAAAAAATAGCCTACTGTAAATATTCAAGGTGTTTTATAACAAACACTAAAATTTTCATCTTATTAACTCTGTTATAAGAAGAATATCATTTTGAGCATCTGCTTCGGGCTACATACTATCCTTGAAGGTTTACATATAGCCAATTCTCATACAATGCCAAATATTATTATTCTTGTTTTAAAAATATGCAAATTGAGGTTTAGGAACCTCAAACCACACAGTACTCTAAACTTTGCCTAAGAATTCTACGGCATTGATGGCAAAAACTGTTGTTCCCCACATCTCTTTGTTTACTAACTGAACCCTAATCTTATGCTGAGTGCCAATGTGCCTGGTTAAAGAAGTAACAACGGATTTAAAAATAAATCTGCTGTGAATATGAATACTTCCTGTCCTCAGGGAGCATCCAGTCCAGTAGGGACACAAATAGCTAAATAAATATGTAGGTTCAGTTCAAGCAGGGAAGTACCCTTGAGAGATATTAAGTGCCCTGACTCTTTAAATAGGAAGGGTAGAGAGATTACATGAAGGTCTTCTTGGCACAGTAAAATAAAAGAGTAACTTCAAAAATATGATCACATAAATGGAGGGACAATTAGATGGCCGGGAGTAGTCAAGTCCTAAATTGTGTTTTCTTTGGGATTTAAAAAAACACACACAACATAGTTACATTAATGCCAGTGATGGTTTTTGCCCACGTTTAGCTAACATTTTATACAATTTTAACTCCTTTGTTAATAAAATGTTTTTATATAAATTTGCTGGAGTTAACTTGCTCCTCCTCCTCCATCATTCCATTAAAAAAGGGTTGTATTTTTTTTTCTTGAGTATTAACTGTAGGCTACTCTGATACTTTTGGCTCTGTCAGAAAATAGTCAAGTAATTTTCCAGAATTTTAGCTAATACTGGCCATTAAGATGAACCCTTGAAACAGGTAAATCTTATAACTAGGTCGAAATGAACAGGCAATTATGCTTTTCAAAAGGGTCAAAGTGAGAACTGAGTCTACATGACATGTTGTCTTTCTTCACGGCTGGCACTAGCATCACACGCCTCCTTACCTTGACCAGGCCTCCCTGCTTGGTGAGGTAACCTTCCTTGGTGCCCAGCTGGAAAAGAGAGAAGCACCAAGTGAAGCCCAGAACTATGGCAACATGATCTTTGTCTTTCTATTTCTGTCCTGCCTTTAAATAAAACACGTTTGCCTTTGATCTTTAAATAATCACCTTTCATTCTTCACCTAGGCCCTTGAAAATCCTTCCTGTGTTGTTAGAGACTGTCGGACTGGATTGTCTTGCATAATTCTGTAGCAACAGGCAACCACTGAAATACTCTCTTCGGACAGTACTTAGCTATTTGCACACAATAAACCACATCATGCCACTGATAAAAGTCAGTGTTGGGCAAAGTGTGTCCTGTGAAACGCAGCGGCTTGGGTTGCTGCAGGGTATTAGGCACACAGCATGCCCGCACACACTGACGCTGGGTCAACACATTTGGGAAACTGGATTAAGCAAAATGAAGGAATTTCTTCACTTCCGTGCTTCCCGAAGTCTGTATTATGTTAATGTGACTTTTTAAAAGGGAATGTTGGAAATACCACTCCAATATTTATTTTATTGCACAATCCTCCACCAAACCCCTCTTCAGTTTTTCATAGACCATTTTTGGAGACCTGTATACCATGGAACAGACTTCCTGGAATGCAGGTTTATTTATACTTCATTCATCCAAAAGGAATTGGAAGTGAGAATGAGTCATTTCTACTAACACATACATCATTCATTCAAGGGTAATAATATCATACACTTCCCCAGCAACTACAAAATGTAACAAATGGTAAGGGACTGTAGTAATAGAAATTTGCATAAAATAAGAACCCTAAGATGAAGAAATGTATAGGTTTTGGCAGAAATTGAACTCCTGGTAGGATATTTTGTTCTAATATGGTGTTATAATATATCTTATATTAGTAAGGAAAAAGTGAGTGAAAATTGGGAAATAACTTAGTTGACGTCAAGGTTCTTTTTATGGGAGTTTCCAGAGTATTTTTTCCTGAGGTGAATTCTCCCTCCAAATAAAAAGAGGAACAACAACTACCACAGTAAAAAGAGTTAAAGCAAGAAATAAATATCAGCACTTCTTTTAAAATTCTTACAGCATTGCCCTAACCGGTTTGGCTCAGCGGATAGAGTGTCGGCCTGCGGACTCAAGGGTCCCAGGTTCGATTCCGGTCAAGGGCATGTACCTTGGTTGTGGGCACATCCCCAGTAGGGAGTGTGCAGGAGGCAG